CTCCTCCACACAGATCTTCATCCAAATGGTCATTGGCAAACTGAAGACGGGCCTGGACATGTGCTGGTTTAAGCAGGGGAACCTTCAGTGCCACGCATGATTTCAAACCATGACGTCTTAGTGTATTACCAACAGTAACCTTGGAAACGGTGGTCCCAGCTCTTTTCAGGTCATTGACCAGCTCCTCCCGTGTAGTTCTGGGCTGATTTCTCACCTTTCTTAGGATCATTGAAACCCCACGAGGTGAGATCTTGCATGGAGCAAAAGTCTGAGGGAGATTGACAGTCATGTTTAGCTTCTTCCATTTTCTAATGATTGCTCCAACAGTGGACCTTTTTTCACCAAGCTGCTTGGCAATTTCCCCGTAGCCCTTTCCAGCCTTGTGGAGGTGTACAATTTTGTCTCTAGTGTCTTTAGAAAGCTCTTTGGTCTTGGCCATGTTAGCAGTTGGATTCTTACTGATTGTATGGGGTGGACAGGTGTCTTTATGCAGCTAATGACCTCAAACAGGTGCATCTAATTTAGGATAATAAATGGAGTGGAGGTGGACATTTTGAAGGCAGACTAACAGGTCTTTGAGAGTCAGAATTCTAGCTGATAGGCAGGTGTTCAAATACTTATTTGCAGCTGTATCATACAAATAAATAGTTAAAAAATCATACATTGTGATTTCTGGATTTTATTTTTTTAGATTATGTCTCTCACAGTGGACATGCACCTACGATGACAATTTCAGACCCCTCCATGATTTCTAAGTGGGAGAACTTGCAAAATAGCAGGGTGTTCAAATATTTATTTTCCTCACTGTATGTTAACCTTATGGCATTTGACCTAAACTTGAAGGGTATAGCTGTAATTTTGATGTGCACAGTGTTTTTAGTGTATATCTACTACTATCGCTGCTACTGCTACTTCTACTATTACTACTATGGAGGACCGATCCTGACACATTCAGAAATAAATACAGAAATAAATAAATGCTCAATAAATAAATAAGCATCCGATTAAATACGACTGACTGGTCCACCAATAGGAGAGAAGTTCACCCCTTGAGACACAGCCCCTCCTCATTTGCATAATGAGGCAGAAATGCATACAGAAATGTAAAAAGGACAGGCAGAAATAAATACCATGGGTGAAAATAAATAGGGTAGAAAATGCAACGCAAGAATAAAACAGACAAAAATATTAAAACACACACATAAATAAATACATTTAAAAAAGAAGTAATTAATAAATAAAGTTGAAGATTATAACGGACAATAAATAAATAAGGTAATTAAAATAGATATATACATTTATGTCTCCTTGTATAATTTAATTACTACCTACATTTATTTATGTACTTTATTTTTTGTGTATTTAATCGGATGCTTATTTATTTATTGAGCATTTATTTATTTATTTCTGTATTTATTTCTGAATGTGTCAGGATCGGTCCTCCATACTACTACTACTACTACTAATAATAATAATAATATAATGTAAATTTTATCATCTTTCACAATTGTCATTTTGTCAATTGTGAAGGTAAATCCACAGTCAAGAACAAGTGACACCTTTTCATTTTAAAAAGAAACAGAGTAGATGCTTGTTAAAATCCATGGTTTCAGTTAAAAGACATGAGTAAGCGGTTCTGTAGAAGGTTTGTTGATGTCAAACAAATACACCCCTCCTTTTCAGTGGTCCCTCAGAAGCAATGTTGTGTGGCAAGGTCCACACCACTTTCTTTTTTTTCCATTTACAGAGCCAGGGCTGTGTAGGAAAACCAGATTTTGTTTCAGAGCACCCGCAAAATGGAGAGAGAAACCGTGAGAAAATATTCGCTGAATTTCACAAAAAGTGCATTGGATTACAATAACTTACAATCCATTTAAGGACTAACATTTGTAAATCCGAAAACTTTTTAGGGATATTCATCAGCTACCTATTATGACAGACAGGGGCACCTCTTTGAAAATGGCACATCTTTCAAAATGTAGGCAAGAAGATCAGATACATCAATATAAACCTGCCTGCTGCCTATACACTGTAACAACACCAATGTTTAAAGGCATATCAGGATATCATATTTCTGGATTGTCCTTTTGAACTGTGGTCAATATTTTGTTATTTTATTATGTCAAGCACAGTCTATGGTCAAAGCACAGTAGGCTGCTTTAGGCGGCAGCATTTCACTGCACAATGTAGAGATATGTTGAGTATGTGACAAATTAAAACTTAAAAATAATACAACGGATGGTGTGGTGATTGGGGGTAAAGTGGTGTCAGCATAGACCAGGAAACAGAAAGTGAAGTTGGGGCAGTGTGATTTACATTTAAATTTACATTTACTCATTTGGCAGACGCTTTTATCCAAAGCTACTTACATTTGAGGAACAACATACAGGCATCAACAAAGCATCAATACAGTAAAAGATATACAAGTGACAATAGATAATAGTAACAGCAGCAATAAATACTAGTAAGAGCTAATAGCACATATGGCATCAATGGGGTAAAGATTTTTTCAAAGCAGATTTTTTTGCAGATGGTTTTGACACCAGTTACACTGCAGCAGACATATTTTTCCAGTTTGGAAAGTAGAAGCAAAGTTGACAGTCCAGTTTACAGTGGAGTGTTTGTCCAGTCAGGAAAGACTCATAATTACGTCTGGGTGAAAAGCAACTCTATTGTCCAGCCTACTTGAGCTGCCATCGGCGTCAAGCTAATTTATCTTTGAGGATTTGGTTTGCCATTTTCAAATGATGGAGGAAAAACCCCAACACATTAAAATAAGGACAAAGCAAATATATGTTTGCTTTTTGGGTTGACAATCATGTGAGATTCTGAGCTCCAATATAAACAAAAATGATGAAGGCGTTAGGACTTGTTTTCAATACTAGCTAGTATCTAGTAGCATTAATAACTAGTAGATACAGAGTAGTAACATAGATAACTGGTATCGATACTAGCTTGCTTTAAATAGACTTGATGCCAGTAAACAAGACGCCTCATGTTAGATTATGTTCTGGGCACTATTTGCTTCTCTGCTGCTGTTGTATGCATACAGTATGTACAACACACGCCTTGCAAGTTCAGAGAATTCACAAATATACTGTACATTTATTTATTATCAAAAGCTGCCTTGTTTTTTAATATGCATGTGATTATCACAGAATAAAAAGAGAATAGTAAAATGCCAAGTGTTTGGCAAATCACTGGTAATGAAAATATATTCAGTAGTAGCCTATGATGCATTCCCCTTATGTGGAAGATGTTTTATGGGTGAAGAAAGTCTTCTACTGTGCTGACTTGAGTTGCCTCAGTGCCCTTCAGATTTGGTATGTTTTATGTTAGAAAGTGCCAGCATGTCCAGAACAATAGATAAGATGGAGAGTCTTGAGACTCCCCTTATAATAAAGACCTAAGACACCCTTTGAGACACCCTTTGATGTTGTTATCCCTCTGCAGATAGTATAAGAACTAGGTGATTTTAGCCTGTGTGGAAGTTGAGCCACCCCTTGTTTCTCAGCAAACATAGAAAAAATTGGTCATGTGACCACACATTTCTGAAGATTAATCCATTTTACTCACCCTGTAATGGAGAGAGGCCCATGGAATATGTGATAAGCACATTTAAGATCAAAAAACTGTTTATGTTCAAGGAGTCCTGATTCTTGTGTCTGAACATGGATGGGATAGAATGGGGTAATTTGAGCCAAAAGACCTGGGGAAGTTGAGACAGATATTTGACTGTAATTTTAGATGGCATTCTTATGTATCACCAAAATGATGTGACATTATGTATTTTAGACCAGAAACCATCATGTCATGCTTCTATAAATGGAAGAAAGACAGACTTCAACTCCTCTTGTGGATTTGGACAGAGTAGTGGGAGAGGTACAAAAATGGAAAGTCCATTCATCAGGTGGCACGGGACATGACGGTAAACAGGATGACTTTAAAGCGATACATTGATATAAAACAACTAGGAGACATAGCTGCAATGTTTCACTACTAAATCCAATTAAATGTTGGGAACTGCCATTTGAGTTTGCATGATAAAATGCCATTGATGTCACCGACCCCCATGTGGCTCAACTTATCCCTCATATGGGACAAGTTAGGCCAAGAGTCAACTTTTTTTGGAAAGCCATATTCTGAAAACAGTTTATTTTACATCCAAATTGATTATTCCCAGAGATGTACTACATCCTAAAATATATGTACATATTTTAGTTGGACGTTACTGTCATGTCCTCACTTTAAAGACACCTCAAGTAAAAACTGGCTCAACTCACCCTGCTGTCCCCGACGTGATTTCTCATCTGTGGCTGTGTCCGTGAGAATGCTGGACCAAGATCTTCTCTGTTAACAGATTTGTGTTGTATTAAACTCATATATTGAGGTATGGACAAATTAGGCTTTTAGTCATCTAAGTGAAATGTGACATCACTTATCTACAAGACCTTATAAATTATGATACACTACTCTCCCCAACATCATATCATATAGTTGCTGTTAATATGGGGTGATTCTAGCCCTGATCATAATTGGTATTGCATCTGTACCAAGTTTTTTTTGAGGGATGACCTATAGATTTTTACACAGGGCCCCTCTACAAGATTGCACAATAATGCAGGAACCAGCTGTCAGATTTGCAAGTGATTAAATAACCAAAACACCAACTGACAAACAGTGATAAGGATCTGACTGTAGATCCATCTGTATACAACAAGATCTGGCACCCCAGGCAGTTACCCACGTTGACAGGTTGGTAATTCAGCAAGAGAACATTTTGAATAGATTTGTTGAATAGGTTTTGGACACCAATTCAACATATGAATTAAGGGGTTCTAAGTTGAGTTTGTTAAACATAATTTGTGTCATCAAAATAATAATGCTATTATCTATTAAAACATCTTTAGTGTCTGCTGCATTGATCAACAGGATCATGTGGTTAGTGGCTGTTTATAGTGCGCTTCGTGTTTTTCACCCTGGGAGGCAGTAACGCTCGCTAACGCCTGTGCGCAGGCGCAGTGGCACTTCACACAACCGCAATAAGCAAATATGGCGGCGGCCGTCGACAGTGTTGTGAAAGTGTAAGTTTACCTTTATTTATTGTAAGAGTTAAACAAGCAGCCACACAGATGTGCGTGTGCGATTGATTAATCATTATGTTACTGCAGAGCGCAGAAATCTGTAAACATCGCATCCTCAATCTTGAATACAATATTTGTCCCAAGAGAATAACGTTATCCACTGAGCTAAGGTTAGCTTGTTAGCTGTGGGCAAATACAAATGAGGCGAGCCCATTGTGGAGCTGTGTCTTAGCCACTACTTATTCCGAACTTAGCTACTCAGGGTTGTGTTTAAGGTGGTGTTACACTCAATATATCCAAACTGTTGCTAACCAGCCGCCTGCAGATGAAGAGAGAGGACATTTGCCAGTAACCTGTCAGCTTGGCGGGTGCTTTGTTGTGACGAGAGGCTTGCTAACAATCAACCTTTTGTTCTGACATCCCTCCATCGATACTGTTGGTGTTAGGCATAGTACTGAAGTCAGGCTCGGTTATGTGTCCCTTTTAATAAACGCAAAGGTCGTTCAGTCAGAGCAACAGTGTGTGAGCTGTAGAACATTGCGACAAATTGGTTTCGAGAGTGAAGCCGAGGATAAATAATGTGTTTGTGAGAAAGGGCACTTACTCGTGTAACGTGACCATAGTAATTATTATTCATTTTAGTTACACCGAAGATGGCCGCCATATTATTATAGTAGTGTTAATGTTAATAAATCACAAAGGGGGTGGACGTTAGAATTATGAATTACAGTGTATGAGAAAGGTGCAACATGCAAGCAAAGTAGCAGTAAAGCCATTTGAAGTGGTTACATTGCTTCTCTGTGGTGCAGTGCTACAAAGTGTGTGATCACAGAATCAAAGCAGTTTTGTTAACTGTGGCACAGTGTAGATGTGTCAGCCACAAGACCCTTCAAGAAAATTTGTTTTATTATGAAAGTGTCCCTAACTGTGTGGTGTGCAAAAACATGTTATCTGATCTTATCAACTGATAAAGTGGCTGTGGGATATTCGCTTATTGCAGAATATATTTGTGTCTGCAGAGATATGTTGGCAGGTAAAGAACAAGAAAGTTGTTAAAATAACATAAATAACAAAGATGTTTTTGAGGTAAAAACAATGACACTAATACATAGTTTGTTGACCAGAGAGCACTTAAAAGTCTTTTTTTAGCTGTAATATATCCCATTTAGTACATACCTTGGTCATAATTAAGAAACAAATTGAAAAGGATTTTAACAAGATGCAGTTGAGTGCGACAGAACAAGCCATCAAGTGGCTAGTCATTCGTCAAGCTGTTATCCACAAGGTCAAGAATGTGTCAAATTTAAAGGCATGCTATTTTTGTGTATACAGTGTTTTACTATTTATTATTTCAACTCTTTTTAATTTGCAGTATTCATCCAGGAATGATTTTTAACTGATCTGTGATATTAGACCTGTCTGTGTCCAACTTCCACCTTTCAGGCTGGGGGAGCAGTATTACAGAGATGCCATGGAGCAGTGTCATAGTTACAACGCTCGCCTGTGTGCTGAGCGCAGCATCCTCATGCCTTTCCTGGACTCTCAAACTGGTGTAGCCCAGTCCAACTGTTACATCTGGATGGAGAAGAGACACCGGAGTGCAGGTATGTAACAGATCATTCATCATTATCAGTAACTAACTGAATTGATATATCATGATGATATAATAAAATCATATTATTTTACAAATACTCAAATACGCAAACTGTAAAAAAGGACATGACTTTTGTTTTATATGATTTTTAATATTTATTATATCTATTTAGAGTTATAAGTGCTGTAGATCACGCCAATACGTACTTTACCTGCTGTTTGTATTGTTCTGTCTCTCATCAGGTGTAGCTCCGGGGCAGCTGTACACCTACCCAGCCCGTCGCTGGAGGAAGAAGCGGCGTTCTCATCCCCCTGAGGACCCCCGCTTGGCCTTCCCTCCTCTCAAAGCAGGTATCAGCTCTGGTGGAACAACTTGTCTCCCACCGCAAAAACAGTCAAGGGGTTGGTTTCATTCATGCTGATAAATCTTAGTATTTCTGTTAATTCATTTGTCTGTGTGTATGTCTGTTGCTGTGGTCATGTCATGTCAATGCAAGCATTACTGTTTTGCTTTGTGTGTGTAGCAGATTTGGAGCTGGGTCTGAAGCGTGACGCGTTGGGGGCGGTGGATGGCAGCAGTCTGGAGGCCCTGCTGAAGGGGGAGCCCCTCGACAGGAGAAGTGGAGTGTCGGACATCCGTGGCCCTGAGGATGATTCGGCAACCGTGGAGCCTCCTGCCACCTCGGCGACCACTCACACATCCTCTGGGCGTGTCCGTAAGGTCTGGCTCAAAGCTGAACTCTCACGTTTTCTGCCAATACAACTGACATAAAAATATATACATAATATATAACTAATGACATACACTTCCATCATGTAAATGTGCCAGATTTAGCCATCCTGGCTAACTTTCATCTGCAGGCCCTGGCAGGTTGATGGCATATAAAAAACATAAAAGAAAACATACAAGAGCACAAAAGCACAGACAAAATAGTAAAACAATGACATAAGCACTACCCCAGATTATGACAGCGTGTTTGATAGTCCACTGTTTTATAGATTTGGAGAAAGGAGTTGTTCTTAGTTCTATGGCTATATGCTCCAGGTGAACTTCACCCAACAGATTAAAACAAACACACAGTGAATGTGAATGTCAATGTGAATGACAAAAGTTGACAAAACAGTTGAACAACTTGGTGTCAAGTTCTTCCCAAGCATCAAACTCTAAACGCTGGCTCAAAAATAAGAAGGAGTTTGTACATTCAGTACACTGAGACCTAATCCTGATCCTCTCACTGCAGAGAGTCCTGGACCACGACGACTACTTGGACGACCTGGATGACGAGGACTTTGAGGACGAGACCCCCAAGAGACGAGGCAAGAGCAAGTCCAAGGTGAGTGTTGTGTCTTTTTCTGCAGTCAGTTCCCCGTGGGATCCCAGAAGATCAGTATGAAAATACCACAGTGGAATCAGCGGAAACCAGTCAGTATGATCATGGTCAGTTTCAGAGGTAGAGCCAGAGTTGCTTCCGGAGAGATTTGAGGTCAGTTTTATTTACATATTGTGGTTCACAGATGTTTGATTTCATCATTTGTTGCAGTTTGTTTTGGAACAGAAGACGTGTTAAAATGACGGAAAATCAAACAACCGCAGTGGCAGTTACAGCTATTGTAACAATTACGGCTATAGTTACAATAGTTTTAATTCTCCTTTTCTTAAAGGTGGTGTTTGCATTTACTTTTGTCAGATTCAGTGAATATTTCCTCACGGTCCGCTAGCTGTCTGTTCTGTATTTGCGCAGAAAGGTGTTACTCTGTAAATGGGAAACAAACAAAGTTGCTTGGACCTACCAACACTATTCCAGCTGTTGTCTGGAGCTGGTGTGCTCGTCCTCTCTGCATGTTTGCTTCGCAGCAGCAACTGTTACAACAGTTTGCTAACCCACAAGTTAGCTAACATTAGTCACAATAATTGCTACGTGTTGTTCGCCCTACATCATGGTATTTGTAATGGTATTGGATTTCTCCAGATTCGCATACCCCACCTTTAACCACAATATGGCAGTTTCTTTTCTGCAGTGCAACTGCCAACTTAACTGTGCTGTGTTATTATTACTCTCAAGAAAAAGATGCTGTTTAAATCTGGATTTTTTTTCTATTTATTTCTCTTCATTTCAATGATGGGCCTAAATTGTACCTGCGTGTTTGTCTGTTTTGAATAGACTTCCCCATCATAGCCTTTTAGGTTCTTGTTTTGTATCTTAAGTTCTTTCTTAAGTTCAATCTATTTAAAAAAAAAAAGTGAATTTATTTTTCACTTGTGTCATCTATCTCAACTGTTAAATGGGTTCTTTAGGGTCGCAGTGACAAGAATGGCAAGAAAAAACAGGAGGCTGCAGCTGCAGCGCTGGAGGAGAGGGACAAGCCATATGCTTGCGACAGTAAGTGGAAGATTCCTTTGCAACGTCCGTGTGTCATGCATGTCAGCAAGAGGGACTTTTGCTTTTTCTCCTGAAAGACAAAAACAACCCTTCTGCCATGCATGGTGTGATCTGAAAGACCCCATCTGGAACTTAAGTTTTACATCATAGAAATTGGTAAAGTTGCCCGCCTGAATGCGTTTTTTATTTTTATTTTTTGCCGCTTCGTGTGTGCTCTGTAACTTTCTGCTGGCCATAGCTCACTGTGCAAAAGCTCACTTCCAGTGTATGAGTTTGCTACTAGCGCGTCAACTAAAAATGAACCTTGTGCAAATAACATTTTTTTTAAATGAAGCCGGTTGTCGGGTGATTGCGTACTGAACAGCGCACTTTTGTGGTTCCATCTTGGGCCTTTTTGCACGGTAATAAGAATGAGCCGCCATCACTATAACATTTTTCTGTGACCGTGTGTGTGTGTGTCAGTCTGTGGGAAGCGCTACAAGAACCGCCCTGGCCTGAGCTACCACTATACACACTCTCACCTGGCCGAGGAGGAGGGCGAGGACCGCGAGGAGATCGAGGCACCACCCACTCCTCGCCAGCCTGAAGAGCAGAAGAGTGAGTCACTCTCTAGTGCTGAGAGAGAGACAGAGAGAGAGAGGGGAGGGAGGTGTGGTTGCATGCCATTTAGCATGTATGTGTTTGTAAAAGGGAAGTCTCTCTCTCGTTAATTTTTATTTTTTGTTTTTTTGTTCCGCTCCTTTATTTTTTTGATTTTCATGATCATTTTGAATCCCAAATTTGGGATTATTCTGAGTGTTCCTGACTGAAACATGCTTGCACAGTTGGGATTCCTGGCATTTTTTTCAGCATATCATCCATCCCCCCCCCCCCCCCCCCCCATATGCATCGCATTGCTATTTTCTTTTGTGCACGCGACACCGTGTTAGCCAAAACATTCAACAAGTGCGTTTTGTCAGTTGTCACTCATTCATTAGTTTGGATCATGATTCAATACATCATCAGCCAGTTACACAGGTAAAAATTGATTTGGCTGCTGTGGCATGAACAGGTTTGTAACACTGTGCTTCAGAGTTGAAAATATTTGATTTATAAACAGTATTATACTACACTTAGACAAACAATGACAGTTTTGACATGTTCATCTTGAAGAAGATATTTGACTCATCTTCCTCAATAACTCAGGTTAAAGTGACAGATCTAATGTGCACTGAATGGTTTCTTCACTCATTCTCCCACTTAGCAACTAAGAAGGGTCCCAATGGGCTGGCACTGCCTAACGATTACTGTGACTTCTGTCTGGGAGACTCCACCTTAAACCAGAAGACCGGCCAATCAGAAGAGCTGGTGTCCTGCTCAGACTGTGGACGCTCAGGTATGAACTCGTCATGTTCATGTAAGCTCCGCCCCACCTTAGTTACATTTGCTATGCCTGTAGAGCTTTCTATCTCAGATGGCACATATGCAGTTTACAGGGTTAACAGTGTCCATTTTTATCATTGAAATTCATTGTAATTAAAGGGTTCTATATTTTAGAAACAGAGGTAGACAAAAGCAGCCTTGTCATTTCATACCAGCAATATCAAAAGAGTCAGCGTCCTCACCAGTTTATGATCCATGTAGAAGACATGGATTGAAGATAAAAATCTTTTAGGATGAGGATTAAACGTTGTGTTCAACAAACATAACGCTGTGTCAGGAAACACACAGTGGATTAGAGCTGGACCGATAAATCAGCGTGCCGATATTATTGGCCGAGATGAGCTACTTGCAGATAAATCGGTGTCGATAAATGACAATTAAAAAAGAAAGAGACGAGAGAGAGGCGGATCGTGTGAGTGTTGAGGGCACTCTGCGTGTTTGATACGCCACAGAAACACCACAGAGCACAGCAGTCAGCTGTACTGTAAAAAAATTAACTACACTATGTCATGTTGTCTTGGTGAGGTCTCGTAACTACACATGACAAATGGATAATCTTAGTTTATGTTATCAGATTTTAAAATCCTCAAATATCAAAATCGGTATCGCTCTTAAAAATCTCACATCGTTCCGGCCCTACTGTGGATATGCTAGTCGTGACTTTGATTAAAAGTAATCTGCAACCCCACAAACGAATGTAAATATTTGGCTCATTTCTTGGGAGTAATGTTCGATTACTGCTGTAAGTAACGCTAATGTTCGCATCGTATGTTAAGAAGAAGAAGAAGACGACATACTTTATTAATCCCACAAGGGAAATTCAATGTTCTCACTCTGGTGTTATTATTGTTATTAGTATACACACACAGGTCTGAAATACACACACATGCGTAGCAACATCACACGGAGAGATGTCAGAGTGACGGGGCTGCCACTCAGTGCGGCGCCCCGAGCTATTGGGGGTTCAGGGGCTTGCTCGAGGCCACCTTCAGCAGTGCCCAGGAGGTGAACTGGCACCTCGCCAGCTACCAGTCCACGCTTCACAACTCTGGTCTGAGCTGGACTTGAACTGGCAACCTTCCAGTTCCCAGCCTAATCCTTAGACACTTACTTACACTTTTGTCTTTTTGGTCTTTGAAACACTAGAAGAAAAGACACCACGCACCATATATTTGAAATACTGATTACCACTCACTACAGCCCCATGCACAGCTCATCATCATGGGAAAAAATTAAAAGCTTGACAGCCCAGCTGCGCCTTTTCACAGTTGTCAAACTACAATTACCCGATGGCTCTTCAGAAAAGGGGTTTTAGTTAACAGTCAGTTGAGCCCTAATAATGTCAACTCATCAAGCAACTAGGTGGTCATAACTAGTGCACGGTTCATGGTTATTTTTATGTCCTCTCCTTCCTGCAGGCCACCCAACATGCCTGCAGTTCACACCAGTCATGATGGCTGCAGTGAAGACCTATCGCTGGCAGTGCATTGAGTGCAAATGCTGCAACGTTTGCGGCACCTCAGAGAATGATGTGAGCCTTTTTTTATATTTCCATCATATGTGTCAGAAGTGGTCTCTGTGTTTCCCAAAAAATCTTGCTGGGGACAGGCCTCTGCTAAAGACATTGTCGAGCCCAGTTAAAATAAAGTTTTTTTTTGTGTGTAAAATGACATGTAGACTTAGTGTGGGCAAAAGGCTGAAATGGACAGAAAGGGAGGAGAAAGAGAGTGAACTGTCTCACTTTCTCACTTTCTCTGCTTGTTGAATTTTCTCTTGGTGCTCTAATCAGTAGACTGAACATGATGTGTTTCTGTAGGACCAGCTGCTGTTCTGTGATGACTGCGACCGAGGCTACCACATGTACTGTCTAAGTCCCCCCATGACCGAACCACCAGAGGGTAAGCTGACGCCGAACACTTCACTGCAGAGGTTTACATTTTGTCATTTGGCAGACAAAGTTAACAGATATCCCCTGATATCATCCCTTTGTACTGGGCTAAAGGCATGAAGGTCACCCTCATCCAAGATATCCACGGTCACCAGCAGGGCACCTACAATCCATCTGGTCTGATCTGTTGCCTTATACCCTGAGAGTTCTCAGATATCTTCACAGGACTGTGTGCTCTCTTCCTCACAAATGCATTCTTAAGAGGCCTGCCGCACATTGGTAGTTTTCCAAGCTACAATGTCAAATAGAAGCCTTAATTCCTTGTTAATTAGGGTTGTGAATTAAAAAAATATCCTAGCTTTTGGTAAAAGTAAGATTAACTAGAACTGCAAGCAGTTATAAGCGGGGTCCAAGCCTCCCGGCGCAAGCCGCCCCCCCTGGCCCCGCGGAGGGTGAGCAAGTCGGGCCGGGCGCGCCGCTGGTTTACTGCATAAGGTCCACCAAAATTGTCATGTGTGATCAAGGCCCCATGGGGAACAATTTCCCCAAATTTGGTATCAGTCGGAGTTGTGGAGATGTAAAATGCATGTACGTCTATGGGATTTTTTTGAATAGCGCCAACAAGGGGCTAACTGTACTAAATTTTGCACAGCCCCTCAGGGGGGCATGCCACATTAGGTCCTCAAGTTTTGTGTTGATCGGCCTTTCCAAGCCTGAGATATGTTATACTTGCTGTTTTTAGCGTTTTCGCAAATATTTGTTAGCTTGCAATTGGGAAATTTTTTGTCAGATCAAAATTCCCTCTACTCGGTCCAGAGATGGTCCGTGCCACAGTTCGTGCTGATTGAATTAAAATAGGTTTTCCAGTTTTCGCGATGTAGCGAAATGAAAACGTCATCGCACAGAGGCGTGTCCTATATCATAAGAATTGGCAGCATCCCTGAAACATGTAGACATAAGGTTTATGAATGTGCAGTGTAGTGGCGCGTAGTTATGAGGCAAAATGTCCTTTGTTTGAAAATCCCATTGAAATGAATGGGATTGTCCGAGCACATTTGAGCTTTGATTATAGCGCCACCTTTTGGCCGAATTACACCAAATTCAGGCGTTATCAGGGGCCCATGGGGAACAATTGACCCAAATTTGGTGTCAATCGGACTTGTGGTTATGTATAACGTCTTTAATCTGCAATAACAGCGCCACCTATGGGCATTGGGTGAAGTTTGGTGCCTGTAGTAAGGGGACCATGCAGAAGAATTTGGCTTAGGTTTCATGTCAGTGTGACTTGTGGTTATAGTGGAACAATTTTCTTGGATTAAATAGCGCCCCCTAGGGGCGAGTTGCACCAAATTTTGCACAGGCCCTCAGGGGGATCAAAATTTCCTCTACAAACTTTCATCAGCTTGGTCCAGAGATTATCCGTGCCACGCTTGGTGTCAATCTGACTTGCGGCTTCAGAGGAGTTAATTAAAATAGGTTTTTCAGTTTTCGCGAAAAAATAGTCTAGGCGGAAATGGGTGTGGCCTGTACCACGAGATTCAGCTCGATCCCCCGAACACGTGGATATAAGGTTTTTGATATCCGCCACTGTATGTGGGAGTTACAGCGATTTGAATGTGCCAAACTTTGGACCTTGCTTGTAGTGCCACCTAGTGGTCAAAGTGAGCAAATTATTTCGCATGCCGTCGTCTCATGGGCCTGAACCTACCCTGTGAGTTGCGCGTCCCTCGCACTTACCGTCTAGGCTGCAGTAGTGGAATTAGGCGAAAATGTACGGAAGAATAAAAAATAAATAAATAAAAACCCGAGCGAAAACAATAGGGTACTGGGAATCGCGATGCCTTGCATTCGCGGGTTCCCAGCCCACTCGGGCTTGGACCCCTAATAATAAAAACGAGAACGATTACAATAGGGTTCCCAGCCGCTTCGTGGTACTGGACCCCTAATTACCCTGATTTGTAATGCACTTCAGAACACTAATAGAAAAGCTGTTTTTTCTTTGGATGGTGACCAAGACAGCATAAACAGATTAGCTTTGATTACGTTTACAGAACAGAATTCACAGTTAAGTTGTGTTCATAGTTGATAGTTGACATTGTGAAAGGGTTCACTTATAGTGATGAACATACAAAGAATTATCACCTGAATCTGCAGTTCTCCTCTGCTGTACAGCGAGTTTTAGCGCATTGTTTAGCTGTCTGGCCCACACCTGTTCTAGTTCACTGTCATCGCTCTTCTAGCGCCGATATATATCTGCTAAATACCCACTGCACACTACCTGCTCAGCACCAAACAACAGACAGACACAGTGACTAGCTGCTGAACATAGCAGAGCATTTAGTAGCTTAAACAGATATTTGTCTCAGGAGTTGGTAGAGACCAGGAACAGAGCTAAGAGGGCTAGGGCTGGACCCAAATATTTGAATATTTGCTTGTTGGATAGGTATTCGATTTTCAATTTTGGGATTCTAATGTTCAGGGTTTTTTGCATGCAGACCCCTGACCTCCTCTCACAGCAGTGAACGTAACGCAGTTCACATTAAAGTTCACATTCATTACAGATCAAAACAGTCAAATAGCCTACATTTTAAAGTTAATCAAACTGTACAAACAACAACAACATAATGAACTAATTGAAATAATTATTTTAGGCCTATTGTAGAAGAAGAAAATTTAGTTCCTATAATAAAAGTTAAAAGCAAATTTTGCGTAATAGGGTGTTTTAGTTTTTCTACCGGAAATGGCGCTCATCCCGTCTGCCCTCCCTGGGCTGACCCTTCCACTAAACTATTCCCATATTCCGGACCGCTCTGCACAGCAGCCACAAACCCTGTTCTGCACACATCTAGTCTTTCAGTCTGCCTCGCTCTTCCCTGGCTCAATATCCAAACCCTGTAATAAATGTTCCTCTTTAATTTACCTCCAGTCTCCTTCCTCTCTTAGTCCTGCACTTGGGTCTGCTAGCCTAGCCATAACAAAGTTAAAAACAAATTGGCAATAATATCTTGCTGTTTTAGTTAGCCCACGCTATGAGAATAAAGAAACTCACTCACACTCACACACACTCACACTCATGACCGCTGTTATCTCTCCCCCATTGGATTCTCCCTCACTCATGTCCTTTGCAGAACTTCTGGGCATTCATCCTTCTTCTGCTGTTCTACTGCTCGTGAAATGACAGCCTGCTTATCAACAGACGTCTAAACGATCTCCGTAACGTGACTTTTTCAATATTTACCATCGAAGCTTCAAAGCTCAAAATGGTATTCGGGCCAGCGCCCAAAGAGAATTGACACTTCTGAAAATCTGCTGTGACCTCTTCCCTCAGACCTGCACTGAGTTGACCAGTGCCTCAACCAACGATTACTTTCATTATCGATTCATCTCGACTAGCCAACGATGTATTTCTACACCCTCGAGCCCTGCCTCACCGTGTTTATCTGTTTTCCAGGGAGCTGGAGCTGTCACCTGTGCCTGGCTCTGCTGAAGGATAAAGCCTCCATATACCAGCAGAACCAGAGCTCCACCCCTGAGTGACACCATAGCAGCAAGTCCCGCCCCAGCAGTCACAGGACCCCACCCCTGATGGAAAACGTCAGACCTCCTCCCAGTCCAGAGCTCCGGGCTCTGTCCAGATGTAGCTGAGCCAGATCGCAGATCAGCTTTTGAAGTCTTAATATCTACAGCGTCAGTGGGGGGATCAGTCAACATGGGGATCAAACTATCACTACCAACCTGCCTGCAAAGCCCCCGAGGCTCGCCGTCAAACACATACATATACAGTATAGACACACACACACACACACACACACACACACACACTCTCTCCTGGACTGTTACACACACTAGATACAGAGACAGAGAGCATGCAGTAACCATTGTAACTGCTGTCTCCATGGGAGCTCCCAGGAGCAAACGGATTAGGATCAAAGCTAATTTTCTCCACCCTTTCACACTCAGACACAGTGCGGACTGTCGAGACAACACAGTTTCTTTTCTGCCAAATTATCTATTTTTTCTCCCTGAATGTGGGAGAAAGAAAAAATCCCAACGTATATGGCTGAGGATTATTATTATTATTACTATTGTTATTGTTCTGGTTACTAGTGGACTTTTGTAGTGGCATTTGTCTGTGTACTTTGTCTGATCCATCTTAATCTTTTGAAGAGGTTTCCCTTGAGGGGGAGCCGGTCTGTGCCAAGGTCCACCATCATATGAAATACACACAACAATCACCCATGGAGCTTATCAAAATCATGTAAACCATTTTAAATTAGTAGTACAGAGATTATAAAACAAAGTTGTAATTTTTTTTGCCAATAACAAGAATTTGACTCATTAAGCTGTTAGCACAAAATCTTTTGGCTTTTCTACTTTGAGGTTGCACCAAAACCAACTTTTCATTGCTGATTCTAGGATTCTAGGTTACTAGGCAGATAGGTTACTTTAACCAAACACTATAGTTGGCTCATGATACAAAAACATATAGTAAAATATCAGTCTTCAGCATTATTTCTCAATCAAACAGGTCTAAATTTATCTTTATTTTGAAAAACCTGACTCAGATAATGCTGTTTTATCAGAGAAGCTGACACGCGAACACGGAAAACTAGTAATCGTAAAGGTGCATCGTTTTCTCAAAGATGTTTTGTGCTACCTTTTTAGAAACCGTTTGGCAGCGACATCATCCTTCACAAGTTGTTTTCAAACGGCTGCTGTCAGACCGGCGACTTATTCACAACCTGTAGCTGCTTTTATCATTTGTCCCACTGAGGCAGATTTGCATGCAGATTGCACCTGTATGAATGCGCACACACTCTCTTCACAAGTGTTTTTATTTTGTTATATTTTTTTTTACATTTTATATTACCTGATATTCCATTGGTACTGGGAGTTTTTTCTAGTAGAATTTTGTAAAGTCTATGGTATAGCAAACACTTCAAGTATATAGCTCCTAATGCATTCTATGTACTGTATTGACTTTTTCTATTTTTGTTATGACTGTGACATGTTTGAATTTATTTGATTATTCTGATATGTCAGACCTCCATTATGAGTATTTGTAAAATGATGTACTTTGTTGTACTATTTTTATTTTTACATTTCTTTGGTATCAAAGCCGATTTAGCCCGACTGAAATAAAAATCACTTTGAATTATGTGTCCATTGTAACTGCTTTAAATACTGAATCATTTAAATTCCATAATGTAGTTGATGTATATTTTGATCAGCTGATGGCCGCCTGTGCTGCAGATATTGATACTGTGCTGTTTCTGTAGTTGGGGCCCGGTTTGTGTTCGTCCACACTACCAACTCATTTTAAGCAAGTCTTAAGTATCTTGTCTGTTCACACTAAAAAACAAAATGCTCAAAGGAAATGGAAGAACTACTCAAATGTAATAACTAATTGTGGACAGAGGCAAGACAACCCTGGAAAAAGTTAGCAAAACAAAAAATAAGTATTAAATCTTTGGAAAAACATCCTGACGTGAAATTTAATTTGCAAACAGCATTGTAAAAGTACTTTGAAGTCCATGTTGTGTAATTTCCTGTCACTACAAAACATTTAAGCATGTAGATTATTTCTACACTAAGCAAAAATTGTGTACTATGAATATTATATACTGTATAAAGCAATGGTGGAAGGGTAACTGTTACATTTATTTGTGTAGTTACTTTGCATTCTAATTTTTCTCAGTCTCTTTGGTAAATTGGTTCTCTGATGAATAGTCTTACCACCCAAAACATGTAGGCATAAGTTCATTGCATTGGGGTTTTTTGTTTTTTTGTAAACGTGTCCTGAATTGATGAAAATATCTGTTGTTATGTGGATGAGAATTTGTGGAACTGACAGACAGGAACATCAGCTTAATGGGTTTCCCATGTTTACATTTGTAATTTTGTATTTTCTGTAAAACATTCTAGTCTTTTTCTTTTTGTATCACCATGACATGTTCTGTCAACAAATTACAGTACATACAGTAAAAGCGCGACTTTGAGTCCTGTCCAATCTCTTGCAATGTATAACTTTGTACTGTACTGATATGTGCCATACAGAAAAAGTGCAGACTCGTGCATTTTCAATCATTGGCATCAAAACCTTAGCCATAGTTTACATTAGAAAATACTTCGAGTGCACTGTTATGTTCACAACAGGGCTAAACATTTTGACTATCTTGTTTGTAAATAGTGACACAAGGACTTATCATTCTGATGTGAGCAAGTAACAGGCTTTTGCTGGTATTCCATCTGTTTTGAGAAATGCACTTACTGTTTCACAGATGTTAAGGCTGATTCGAGAAATGTACCAAAGTGACTGAGAAAAACAAAATATTGACTTCACAAGCTACCCAGGAGTGTGTAAAATAACTCAAATTAGCTGCACCTTTACCAGCTGTATTAAAGTAGGGGAAACATTAATGCATCAATAGTTAGAATCCAGTAAAATAATGTACAGTACATTATTCTGAATTGGGCCATTCTGCATAATGGGTAAGTTTACTTTTCCTTTTCTTTTTTTGACTTAAATTAGTGCAAATGTGGGAAAGAGAGAGGGGGTGACATGTAGCAAAGGGCCTAGGACTTTTATGTGTAACAGAGTACTTCTACTCTGCTGCTACTTTTGCCTAAGTAAAATATCAGAGTACTTCTTCCACCTCTGGTATAATGTATACAAATAGTATGTATTATGGATTTGGGACACAATGAAGAAGATCAACTGGCATTCAAAGGAGACAAAAGATTCAGTATGAGCCCCAACAGGACTTTCTACCTCTTCCACTCAACTCAGCTGACCATCAGGGATGTGCGTGTCCCGGCTTCAGCACTTGGACAGCTCCCTTTCTCCAGCCTGCTGGAGGCTGTGGAGCTGTCCAAGTGTTGAAGTGCTGCAGGTAACAGCCTCTCTGATCCATGTGACTTTGAACTACAGCACATCGGTCTCTACCTCATCCCATCTTGTGTTAAGGGCCCGTGTCCCATATAGCAGAGCTTTTTGCTGCTTTACACCGACTTCCTGAGGCTAAAAATGTTTTCCAGGGACAAAAGGTTCATCTGAAGATTCTGTTGTATTATTAACAAGTCTGTTTAATCTCAGGAGGAACGACAATCTTCGAGGCAGTATGCACCACCTACACCAGGAAGTCAACAGATTTTCATGTCTCACTGATCAGCTCCTCTACTCCTTTTAAAGGTGTGTTTAACAGTGAAATAGCTGCTGTGCAAACTGGACTGAGTGAAAACTTAAAGCCTAAAGGACTCAATGGTAGACATGAAGAGAAATCGTGCCATAACTTAAAATGAGATTGCATCACATTAACGTGTCTGGAGTTTATATTAAATATATTTTAAATGATTATGTAATTGTGTTGAGCTCCTGCAGGTGAACTGCTCCTGGCAGTGAACAATGCTAAATAAATGCATTCTTCTTCATTTGCATAATTCAACAGAACTCTTTTGGAAAATTGTTGAAATGTAGACTTTTTCACTTTTTGTAGACATTTGATTCCTCATATGTTGCTCTAATTCTCGCCACATGTACTCATTTCAAGTGCATGTGAAGATCATAATGAGGCTTTGGATGAGCATTAGACAGCCAGAGAAACCTCACAGAGCAAAATGTTTTATTATTGCACTCAACAACATACACTCAAGGACTCTCTCCAAACACAGATGTTCAAAAACACCTTGTAGCATACAGTCGCCTTTGTTCCAGCTCATAAACTGTGCTGAGAAGCTTATAGGAAAAAGGGTAGGAGGGTATGGGGCTACATCATGTACAAGGCCAGGACAACAGTGGCTTAGTGCAATTATCTGGAGCGTGATGATCAGCCATGCTATGTTGTTCACAACTACACACACCAAGGCGTGATTAAAACATGACATTAAACTTGACATAAAATATCTGCACGCACTGAGAAGCAACTACATAATCTTACATGTATAATCATCTGGCCATTGAGGTTACTTGTGGCAGTCGTAAAGTATTAATAAGTAAATGAACACACTTTGGGGTTTCTTGTACAATAGTCTTGGTTTCAGAAAACAAATGCAATACTTGTATTGTTGTGAGACATAGTGCATTATCAGTTTTATTTCACAAAATCGGAGGTGCCCGGTACAAAACTATGTAAAATTCTCATTTATCAAAGGTAAACAATGCAGCTTTCGGGAAGCTGTGTTGCAGAAACGCTGCTCGAACATGTACAGCCACCGTGTACTGAAACAAAAATTCATCTATCTGTACATTTGATTAATAATGGCAGCAGTGAAGGTGGAAAAGGAGTAGGACCACTTGTTTGTGCGTCCTTTTGTATGACTATGTGCGTGGGGGAGTGTGTGTGTGTGTGTGTGTTTGTCCTCTATAGCCTCTCAAAGCCGACGGAGCAGAGGAGAAAGATGGCGTAAAGCAGAATGAGAGTGAGTCCCAGCCTACGGTCCAACCTCCAGGAGTTCAGATGGACACACAGGACCTGGGGAGGCATGGACAGAAATAGAGGGAGTTTTTAATTTCCTGTTGCACGGCTCTAAACATTATCACATACTTCCCTGAGTCTAAAAAAGGGCTCTCAGGCCTCGACAGGAAGAAGATAAAATGAAAATCAGAGTTGAAGGAAAACAGGTGGTTGATGTTGGTGCAGACTTTATTTACTTATATAATTAGATAGATTCATTAACTTTAAAAAAGACAGAACTACTCACAGTAAGTACGACCGAGGCCAACAGCAGAATCACCGAGTACACCAGGCCTTTGCTGTTGATTGTCACCTAGAAACCAGAGATGACAAAGCATTAACATGTTTTAAAATCACTTTATATAAAATACCTTATGCCTTATGTCCTACAAAGTTCATTCAGTTTAGTCAAGGAGAGGTTTTATACTTAAATGCAGAAATATACATCATTACAGCCCCTGAGCGCATTCATGTATACTCCTAACTCTTCTATCTTTTACAGAAATATCCAAATGGTATTTTGGTCGGCACTTTCATTATATATCAGCATGTAGTCAAGAGGTGACAGGAAACAAGGGGAGCTATTGCTATTGTACTTTTTTTTGTAGAACATGCAGAAAATGTGACCAAATTATGGTGGAAATGTTTTTAATTCATGCAAAATTCAGGCAGCAGGTGGCAATTCAAAATGTAAAACTATAACAGAATCTAATGCAAAAAGGCATTCTGTGTTGCTTTCAGATATGTTTCTCCTATAAATCAGCTTTTCGCATGTAATATCATCCCTGCTGAGTCAGTACACAGGAGTCTTCCCTCCTCTTTGTCATGTTCACTGGGAGAGAATGGAAAACTGTGTCAAGAAGATGTTAAAGTCACTTTTTGCTTAATAATAAATAAATAAGTGCAAATAAACCTTTCTCAAAGCATTTTCATTTGTTATTTAACAGAAAAAAACAATCTTACCGGATCTGCACAAATCATATAGGGAACCCATTTTGGTTTCAAAATAGCGAAAGGTGAGGTGTTTGCATGCCTGTTAAATAATTTTCCAGAACAACATAAGATTTTCCAGGACATTTTACTTTGGCTCTCATTTTCCAGGTTTTTTCCATGACTGTAAAATTTCTAGGTTTTCCAGGACGCGTGGGAACGCTGACTTATGTTATAGGCTCAAAAGGCGAAAGTTCCACTCAGATAAAAATGTGTTTTTAGGGTCATGGGTCAAGTCGGCTGTATGAGATATTAGGCAGAGAAAACAGCAGGTGTTACCACTGATCCATAGCTGACTACAATAGTCCTCAGCGCCCAGGGGAAGCCCAGGCCCAGCAGCACATCAAAGACATTACTGCCGATGGAGTTGGACACAGCCATGTCGCCCATCCCTGCAATGTTTGACATACGCACAAATACAAAATGGAATTCATGAGACAATATGTAGAGCATATGACAGACATCCAGTCAAACACATATAACTACTTAGGTGCACTAACTGGCTCATTTAGTTTATCCCGATCTTTTCATGACAAAACTATCAAACACTGATGAGTTTTTCCTCTGATGAGGCTGTGAAATTCGGTTGAAAGCTCCAGAAAAGGCTATTAAGTGCCCCTTGAGTGAAGAGTGTTTTGTCAAACCAGTTTTTTCCATGGTCGAGAAGGAACCACTCATTATTCTGATTTAATTTTGTAACATACTAAAATGTGCA